GTGTGAAACTCCATCATCTCTTTAATGTGTATGACTTTATGTGTATGTGTTTGGATTTTGTAGAGTTTCTACTCTTTTTCCCACTTAGGTTAGAAGTTGGTTTTGTGAGTAGAATGAGGTTTTAATCGGTTAAAACTCGGATTAGACGATGTAGTTTAGTCGGGTGATGGTAGGGTTGTGCCACTGAGACTGGTTTGGATTTAATCGGTTGATTTTGTGGAGTTTGGGCTCTTGAGACAGCCATGGAGGTTCTGTCTTTGCAGGCTCTCCAGGCGAATGGTAGCGAAGCTTCGCCAGGCGAAGCCCAGCGAGCTGCAGCGAAGCAAGTCAGAAGCTAACACCCTGTCTTCGCTGGCAAGTTCGCCAGGCGAATGAGAGTGGCGAAGGTTTGCCAGGCGAGTATGCTAGAGAGTGCTAGCGAGTAATTCCAGAATAAATCCCAGTGGTCTTCGCTGGCAAGCTCGCCAGGCGAACGAAGTAGCGAAGGTTCGCCAGAGGCTTCGCCAGGCGAAGGTTAGCGAACACAGCAGCATATTTTTCTTTCTTGTGTTTTCCATTCGTGGATTGGTTGTGTGGTTTGGTTGCGATCATTCCTTGTTTGAGATGATTAATTATATGTTGTTATGTGTGTTGTGGGTATCCGTATGGCGTGAATCCTAGTTTATGAATTGTGAAGTGTGGAATGTGGCCGTTTGGTATTTTGGTGCATTACTTGAGTGTAATAGAAATGCATGATGAGATTATATGATGACTGTATGTATGTATTGTGATATGTATATATAGTGGATGCATAATGAACATATGCAATGAATGTGAAGAATGCATGAGCATGTTCGCAAACGTGGTTGCATTTCAAGAAGTGTATGAAGTACATTCTTGTGCTGTTGACTCTTAGGAGAGTCTGATGAGTGGTGTGACTCTTAGGAGAGTCTGATGAATGAAGTGATTCCTAGGAGAATCTGATGAACGAATTGATTCCTCGGAGAATCTGATGAAAGATGCGATTCCTCGGAGAATCTGCTAAATGACTTGATTCCTCGGAGAATCTGATGAACGGTGTGATTCCTTGGAGAATCTGATGAACGGTGTGATTCCTCGGAGAATCTGATGAACGGTGTGATTCCTCGGAGAATCTGATGAACGGTGTGATTCCTTGGAGAATCTGATGAACGGTGTGATTCCTTGGAGAATCTGATGAATGGTGTGATTCCTAGGAGAGTCTGATGAGTGGTGTGATTTCTAGGAAGATCTAATGAGTTATAGGATACCCATGAGGGGTGGGAGTGAATTGATTCTTAGGAGAATCTGACGGACGATTAAGTCGATAATGTGTTGCATTCGCGTAGAGTAGCGAGTTGGCCTCTATGATCTGCGTGTTGACATCTGTGCATGATGTATGGCGAAATAAGCATGTTGTGTATGTTTATTAGAATAATGTGAAAGGTGTGAATGACATAATGAAATGCTTGAAGATATATATATATGTATATATATGTATGAATGAATATATGTATATATGTATATGTGTGTAACATGTATGAATGTTCCTGAATGGATATAAACCTTAATGATACATATTGTTTATGCTTGATGTTCTATTTGTAAATAGACTTTAGTGGATACATTGCGATGTACGATGTGAGTCATGGTGAGAAAGCGTAAGATGCATGATTGTGGATATGATATATATATATATATATATATATATATATATATATATATATATATATATATATATATATATATATATATATATATATATATATATATATATATATATATATATATATATATATATATATATATATATATATATATATATATATATATATGCCTTTATGCATTATTTGTTATGATATTGTTTCTCACCCTTCTGCTGTTTTATAATGCTCTATGAGGCATTGCAGATTAGATTACTGGAGATCTTTTGTGAGGCGTGGCTTCATCCTTTAGTTGGTCGGCTCTGATATGTAGCACCGGGTAGCTAGGAGTTGTTTTGTTTCTTTTGTGATGCATGTGTATATGTATCTGCTGATGAAAGTTATGTAACCATGTTGGTTGATGATTTGTATATATGAATACATGCGTTAGAGAATTATGAAATATTTGGATGTTCCGCCTTTGTTCTAGATATTTTCTCGTGGGTGTTACCCCGTTGTTGCATATCATTATATATGAGCAGGTGTTTTATATGTGTGATTTTCGGATAATGTGGCATGTCCCTTTTATACCGTTTTATAAACTTACTCTGATGAAATTTTGAATTTGTGCCTAAATAATTAATTGTATTATTTGGGGGTATAGAAAGGGGGTGTTACACCTCCTAAAAGCTCTAAGAGGTTGTGTAGACCGTATGCAAGGTGCATTCTTTCTCTCCATAGGTCTTTCTTCTCTCGAATGAGGTTTATGTTATCCTTTGATGATTTTGAGGTGTGAGTTATTAATCTTAAAGGGATCTCCAATTCGGAGTTCCACCTTATGAGGTATGATTATGTCAAACTCTTTTAATATTGGTGTGAATACAAGAAAGGTGTCTCGACTCAGACATTTTCTTCCATGAATGTCAACAAACTTAGACCCGTACTGCTCACAAGAGTATTTGTGAGAATCAGGTCAATGTACCTTCTAGGTGCAGTGACAAGTTCCCTAATTTTTGGCACTATATATATATATATATATATATATATATATATATATATATATATATATATATATATATATATATATATATATATATATATATATATATATATATATATATATATATATATATATATATATATATATATATATATATATATATATATATATATATATATATATGCTCGGTTATTTATCCCAAGTGGAGAAGTATTTGATGAATAATCTTACCGCTTTTTAGGAAGACCTCATTTTTGTTGATGATGTCGATTCTTCTGGTGTTACCTCAAATAATTGGAGGAGGCAATATATCGAAACTCATATGTTAGTGGAAGCGGCTACCAAAGATGATTGTTGTAACATCTTTGGTTGGGATGTAAATATCTTCTGAATACTTTGGTTATTCTATATTGAGGACATTTACTAAATTTTACCTTTCTTTGCCTCGTCTTGCAGATAAGATAAGTTGTATAAAGATAACAATCCATATGAGAAGAACATTGAGGAATACACCAAAACCATTCAGATATATTCTTCAACCGTAAAAACTTGGGTTAAGAAGTCCCTCTCGAGCCAGCGATGATCAAGCACAAGCACAAGAGTCTTCTTAGTGTGAAGTCTGCCTCATATGTTATTTATTTTTTTGTCTGTGGTGGTTCTCTCGAGCCGTTCTCATTCTGTTTGCTTGCAAGGATATTGTTAATGAATTAAACGTCTTTGTTGTTTCCTTTTTTTTTGTATGAGCTTTCTTTGATTTCTGACCTCTTATTACTTTGAAAATGGACGATGTCTTTTTATTGTTTATAACACAACATTTATCCTCCTTATTCTTACCATCTTTCATTTGAGGTCAATGTTCTTGATATCCGATAGCCATCATAAGATCGTGCCCATCTGCTTTATTGGACGTCATTTAGAAACGCGACATACCATAGATTTGATCATCTTCCCTACCCTAAAGTGAAAATATAATTTAAGACCGGTGTACGAGGCTTTACCTCCATCACTTTAGAGGGGATAGCTACCAAGAGGAAGGTGAACTTAGATCACCACTTTCACGTTTGAGGTTCAGATGTTCTTCATTGAGTGAACTCTCATAATTGAAGTTTTATTGCTTTAGTCATACATTCTCAATGTTTATGACACCATCCATTTGTTATATGGTTTAATCATAAATTAATTCGTTAAAAAAACTAAATTAATTTTAATAAAATAAAGTCAATTATGCAGAATTATAAAAATAAAAAGAACAATCTAATTACCTATTACTTAAAGAGGAATCAATAAATAATTGAAAAATAAGAATAAGAAAGAGGAATCAATAAATAATTGAAAAATAAGAATAAGAAAAATACTTACTTCTTTACATATATGTATTCGTAATAATGAGAAGATTATATACTAAAATAAGAAAATATATATTATAGAAATATGCTATTTGGTAAATAAAAAACTAGGTAAATAATCTTTTTGACTAAGAAAACATTTCTTTTATTAGTAAATTATAAACTAAGTTAATTAATAAAATAATATTTTTAAAGAATAAATAGACTAATTAACTAACTAATCAAAACACAAAAAAAAATGTATCACTTTTTTATTTAGTTAATATCCAAAAAGAAAAATCTTAAATAATGGCCAAAGAAAAAAAAATATACATACAGGTTGTACTCAAAATAATAAGCAGCTTTTATTCCAAATTTAAAAATGATATTCTCAAACATAATTAAATTTATATCAAATAAAATAAATCTCTAATAGAAAACAATTAAATTTTCAATATGTTTGAATTTTTTTTTAATTAATTTTTTTTATAAAAAAAAGTCATAAAATTCTGACAATAAAAATTTTCCCTAAGAAAAATAGAAAAATAATTCATGTAAATTTTTTGGCAAGATAATAAATACATGTATATGGTACAATGTTAATGGACACATCACACATCCCATTCCAAATTTAAATAATAAAAATATTCTACAAATATATAACTACATTTCCAAATATAATAAAATTCTCTAATACTATAAATAAAACATCTAAATTGGATTTCGGTCGTTACGCGTTTTCTTAATCACTTTCCTTGTCTTTCTCTTTACTTTCCACGTTATCATTAATAATTAATTAATTAACTAATTAACTATTAATTAAATATTAATACTTAATTAATTTAACACCTTATAACACACGCACGCACGCAGTAACATAACACTTGTTCAGTTCTTCTTCTTCATCTCAAAACTCTGTCACTTCCATTCACATTCAGATCTTCATTCACTCATCGATTTCATCTTTTTTCGATTTCGATTCGCATTCTCGCACATTCGCGAGCATTTTTATCGCAAAATTCTTCATAATTCGAAATGCCATCATCAACATCGAGAACAATTCGAAAAGCCATTGGCGTAATGAAGGATCAAACAAGCATCAGCATAGCGAAAGTAACTGGAAATTTAGCTCCACACATTGAGGTTCTAGTCGTGAAAGCAACAAGCCATGATGAAATTCCTGCTGATGATAAATACGTAAGAGAAATTTTCAATTTCACTTCTTATTCTAAAAGCTATGTCAATGCTTGTTTAATGTCGATTATGAAAAGATTATCGAAAACGAGCGATTGGATTGTTGCGGTTAAATCGCTTATGCTTGTTCATAGGTTTTTGACTGATCGACATCCTACGTTTGAGGATGAGATTGTTTGTGCCTCACGTGATGGAATGAAGGTTCTTAAAATGAGTGATTTTAGAGATGAGGCGCATTCGAATTCTTTGGATCATGCTCGTTTTGTTAGGGTTTATGCAACGTATCTTGATGAAAAGGTTGGATTTTTGGTTTATAAGAGGAATTTGAAAGGTGTTGAGTCTGGTGATGGTGAATTTGGTTCCGTGAAGAGGAATGAGGTTGTTACGCCTGCGAGGGAAATGAAAGCGGAGAGGGTTTTGGATAGGTTGAAACATTTGCTTCGGATTCTTAGTTGTGCGTTGGATTGTAAACCGAATGGGGCTGCAGAGAATAATAGGTTGTTGTTGGTTGCGATTCATCATATTGTGAGGGATAGTTTTAAGGTGTATGTTGAAATTTGTGATGTGTTGGGGGTGTTGATGGATAGGTTTATGGAAATGGAGTATGAACAATGTGGGAAAGCTTTTGAGTTTTATGTTAGAGCTTCCAAGAAAATGGATGAGTTAACAGGTTTTTATGGTTGGTGTAAGGATATGGGAATTGCAAGATCCTCTGAGTATCCTGAGGTGCAGAAAATTACTGATAATCTTTTGGGGACACTTAATGGTTTATTGAAGGAAATGGGTGATAGAACAAAGAGTCCGGAGATGAAGGCTAAGGTAATAGGTTTGGTTAAAGAACAAGAGATAGGTATTAATGAGGTGAAGGCTCTTCCAGCACCCGAGATAGAGAATTTGATACCTCAATCGCAATCGCCTCCTTTGGCTCCCGAGCCTAAAGAGGCACCTCGCATTCTACAGGAAACAGGTGACTTATTGAGTCTAAGAGATGATGATGGTGTTTCGGCCGATGAGCAAGGTAATAAACTTGCAATGTTATTGTTCTCTGAAGTTTCGACGGTTAAGACAGATGGTCTGTGGGAGGAACTTAGTTCATCTGGAGTGAATTCAGCGTGGCAGATACCTGCGGCTAAAATAGGGAAAGCGGATTGGGAATTGGCATTGGTGGAGACTACTAGTAATCTGTCGAAACCGAAGGCTGATTTGGAAGGTGGTTTTGATTCACTTTTACTGAATGGAATGTATGATCAAGGTGCTGTGAGACAACATGTGAGCTCAACTGATATGAGTGGTGGAAGTTTTAGCAGTGTGGCATTGTCAGGAGCTGGTAAGAATACGACACCGATTCTCGCTTTGCCTGCTCCAGATGGAACAATGCAAGCTGTAGGAACACAGGACCCATTTGCAGCATCACTCTCTGTGCCGCCGCCTTCGTATGTGCAAATAGCAGAAATGGAGAGGAGACAACATCTGCTTGTTCAGGAACAACACCTATGGCAGCAATATGGGAGAGATGGAATGCAAGGTCAAGTTGGTTTAACGAGTGTTGGGGGTGGATCATCTCTTTATCATCATGCTCCTAGTTCACAACCTATGATGAGTTATGGAATGCCACAAGTTGGTGGGATTGGACAACCTGGAGGCTATTACAATGCACCTTTTTGACACTTTGGATTATAAAAAATGTTGTATCAAACTGTCCAAGCCAGGATGAGTTTGGTTCAAGACACTTGGTTCCTCTTAAATAAGTCTTTATGTAGTGAATATAAAAAACAGATTTTGAGTTGTGCTTTGCCTCTTTTATAGATTTATCTTACTCAGTTTGGATTAGTCAAATTCAATGTAACTTCTGCATATCAAGAGTCTATGCAAAAATAAAAGCAAAAGCTTTTAGAGTTTCACTCTCCACAAGTTGTACTTATATGATGTCTTTATCTATTTAATTCATTCCTTTGGTATACATTCTCTCCTTACTCTCGCTTGGTTTTCACTTTAAAAAATATATATTTGTAGTTTACATCTTTTAAATTTTTTTTATTAAATACAAATTTAGGTGAGATGAGATTTTAAGATGTTCATGAAGATCAAAGAGAGACTTCAAACTTAAAAAGTGCTGACAAAGGTAATGGCATCACATCGTATGTTGAAGGCAATCGTCGGTCAATCTAGGAAAGTTTTGAAGGTGTTTTTCGTGTTTTATGAACCTTTCGAATTTATAGATTAGAAACTTTATTTCTTTATCGCTTCTTTATATTTTAATCTTTTCAGTTTTTAGTGCAAGTGTTTTCTTTTCTTTATAATCTTTTTCGCTTTTAACAATGTAGTTTAACTTAATTTTATATTCTTACAATTCATTAAATGAAGTTGATAAATCAATAAAAAACAAATTTTTAGATTCAAAAATCACACTGATTTTAGGTGGTCACGTGCAATTTAAGCATATTTAACTATTTTATTAATTATATCTTCATTTTGAAAAGTTTTATTACGTATAGTTTTTAAGTGACTTATTATATGAATGAAACGTTTTTCAATATCTTAGATATTTTCTTCGATTTTTATTCTAAACAATTCATACTCATGGATTAATGTGTTTATCCTGTTGAATCATGTGGAGAAGTATTAACATTGGGTTAAAAGCAACACACAAGTGAGAGTGACACCACATATCCACCTAAAAAACCTTAAGGTGATAGGTGTACGAGTCCTCTTACTTATAAATGTTCAAGTCTCCATATTTATAACTAATGTGGAACTCCAACTCACACTTGACTTATTATTCTCAACACCCCCCCCCCCCCCCAAGTATGAGTCCACAATGCTCCCTTTCAAGTGGAAACTCTTTTGTCCACCTACACTTCTACCGTCGTTGACACCTCTTTCCTGTGCATTTTGATTTCAACGGGACACCTCTTCCTGAGCATTTCGATACAAGTAAGTCGGTCCATTTACTTGAACCAGAGACTCATAATACCATTTTGTTGAGTCATAAGGAGGAGCATCAACATTGGCTTAAGAGCAACACAAGGGTGAGAGAGACACCACATATTTGTTGTGAGCTGTTTTGAAAAGCTGTTAGTTTTCCAAAATAACAGAATTTAACAGCATGGCACTTTAGTTGTATTTTATATTAGTTGTGTTATTCTCTCATGTGTATATATACATTGTTGTAATCCCAATTCATAGTTAATTCCAATTTAGTGATTCATCCAATATTACTCTCTTCTCTATTCTCTCTTTCTCTCAATTTAACTTCTTTCTAAGTTTCTTTTCACCATTGTTACTACCTTCAAAATTCTGGTTTTATATTTTATGGTGTTCTAACATTTAGCATCAAGAGCCCTGGTTGTTGATCCTAATCCGCTGCAACAATAATGGCTACCGTTTCTAATGATCGTATTCCTACAAATCTCCCCATTCTTGATTCGAAGAACTATGACAAATGGGCAAAACAAATGAAAGTTTTGTTTGGTTATCAAGAGGTGCTTGAGATCGTCATCAATGGAGTTACACCGCTAGGGGCTGGTGCTACCGATGCTCTTAGGGCTACGTACAAGGAAGAAAAGAAGAAGGACTACAAAGCTCTATTCTTGATTCATTCTTGTGTTGATAACGACAATTTCGAGAAAGTTGGTGATTGTGAATCCGCGAAGCAAGCATGGGAAATCTTGGAGAAAACATATGTCGGTGTCGTCAAAGCGAAGGTGGTAAGGTTACAAAATTACAAACGTGAATTCGAGCTAACACAAATGGAGGACAAAGAAACGATCAATGATTACATTACGCGCATTACCCGGTTAGTCAACCAAATCAAGTCATGTGGCGAAACTATTCTTGAGCAGAATGTTATATCAAAAGTGTTGTGTTCGTTAGCATCACAGTTTGATAACATTGTTGTGGCTATTGAAGAGTCAAAGGATCTAACAACTTTGAGCAAAGATGAGTTGCAAAGTTCATCAGAAGCGCATGAACAAAGGATGGATGAGAGAAGTGCCGACAAAGCCAAAGCGGAGATTGCTTTGCAAGCGCGTTTACATGAGAAGAACAAGAGAACAAAAGGGAAGTGGTCTTCAAAGAGTAAGAAGAATTTTGGTGGAAAAGATCCACAAAATTCAAAGGGTGAAGGAAGATCCAAAGAGGGTAATCAAAGCGCCTACAAACCGTTTGACAAAAGTTCTGTGAAGTGTTATAATTGTCAAAAGCTTGGGCATTTTGCGAAAGAATGTCGCTCAAAACGCAAAAAAAAAAGATGCGGATGAGGAAAAGGTTGCTAGGGAAGAGGTAGATGATGAAGATACCCTTCTTGTGATGATTACGGGGGAGAATTATGGCATTGTTGATGCTCCGGGCAGCAGCTACTATGGTGATAGTTTGCGGGACAGCAGCTGTACTGTTTTGGAAAGTGGTGGGAAAATGCGCTCGGATCGAAATGCATTACTTACCATGCATGATGGAGTTCAAAGTAAAGATGAGTGGTACTTGAATTCCGGTTGTTCAACACATATGACGGGTCGAAAGGATTGGTTTGTGCAAATTAATCAAGCGGCAAAGAGCAAAGTCAAGTTTGCCGACGACACCATTTTAAGCGCCAAAGGGGTAGGAGATATTTTGATCGGAAGGAAGAATAGTGGACATTCTAGGATCAAAGATGTCTTGTACATACCGGGAATTAAGTGTAATCTTTTAAGTATTGGCCAATTACTTGAAATAGGTTACTTAATTCGGTTGGAGAACAAGATGTTACGCGTTTTAGATTCAAATGGTGTGTTGATTCTAAAAGCGACGATGGCTGCCAATTGAACTTTTAAGGTTGAGTTAAAGGTTATGGAGCATCGCTGTTTAGCTAACGCGGCAAGTAGAGAAGAGTGGTTATGGCATTACCGTCTTGGTCACCTTAATTTTAGGGATCTCAAAATGTTGCAACAAAGTGAAATGGTAACGGGGCTGCCACATATTAGTGTTCCGACAGAATTATGTGAGGAATGTGTGATAAGTAAGCAACACAAGAATGTATTTAGCAAGGATGCAGGTCGAAGAACCAAACGCTTACTTGAGGTGGTGTATTCGGATATTTGTAGACCGATGCAAATAGAGACTTATGGCGGCAATAGATATTTTGTTACGTTCATTGATGATTTTAGTAGGAAGCTTTTGACATATCTTATCAAGAGAAAGGATGAGGTATTCGGAGTGTTCAAGAGTTTCAAATCCATGGTGGAACGTCAAAGCGGTCGGAAGCTCAAAATTCTCAAAACGGATGGTGGAGGTGAATATAGTTCTAGTGAGTTTGAGAAGTTTTGTGATCTTGAGGGTATTGTGCGTGAGGTGGTGCCTCCATATACACCTCAATAAAACGGGACTTCCGAGAGAAAAAATCGTACAATAATGAACATGGTGCGTAGTATTCTTTGTGGGAAGAAGTTACCTAAAGAGTTGTGGGGTGAGGCCGTGTCTACAGGCACCTACTTTTTGAATAGGTGTCCTACTAAGAATCTGAAGAAGATTACACCAGAAGAGGTTTGGAGTGGTTTCAAACCAAGTGTGAATCACTTGCGCGTTTTTGGATCGATTACATATCGTCATGTACCGAATCAACTTAGAAAAAAGTTGGACGATAAAGGTGAAAAGTTGATATTTGTTGGATATCACTCTACTGGAGGTTACAACCTATTTGATGAGAGGAATCGGAAAATCGTGATAACCCGAGATGTGCAGTTTGATGAAATAAAAACTGCTGAAACAGCAGGTGTAATCAATTACGCCAATGCTGGTAACAGATTACAGCTTGCTAAACAGCAGCATTTTGTTAATTTGTTTGATCCAGAGAGTTTTGATGCCGCCGTTCTTGTACCTACGGTAGTTGAAAATGATGTTGTGAATAATGGTAGACCAGTGAGGCAAAGAGACTTGCCTCATAGACTCCGAGATTGTGAGAGGTTCCAAGATAACGAAGTGAATAGTGATGGTGATCTTATTCATTTTGCACTTATGGCCGAATCTGAACCGGTAAATGAGGAGGAAGCCTTAAGTGATCCTAAATGGATATGTGCAATGAAAGAGGAGCTGGAATCTATTGAGAAAAATGACACTTGGGAGCTGGTCGATTTACCACATGGAAAGAAACTGATTGGTGTGCGATGGGTCTATAAAGTCAAAGCAAATCCTAAAGGTGAAATAATCAAGCATAAAGCTAGATTAGTGGCGAAAGGGTTCTTGCAACGTGAATGTATAGACTATGAGGAGGTATTTGCACCGGTGGCTAGAATGGAGACTATTCGTTTGGTTGTTGGGATTACGCATAACAACAATTGGGTGATTTATCAAATGGATGTGAAATCTGCGTTTTTGAATGGTCCTCTTGATGAGGAGGTTTATGTGGGGCATCCACCTGGTTTCGTGATCAAAAATCAAGAGAGGAAGTATTACAAGCTACACAAAGCGTTGTACGGTTTGAAACAAGCTCCAAGAGCTTGGAATAAACGTATAGACGGCTTTCTTATTGACATCGGTTTCAAACGGTGTGTATCCGAACATGGTGTTTATGTCAGATCGAATACTATTGATGGTATAATCATACTATGCTTGTATGTTGGTGATCTCTTGATTACGGGAAGCAATGACAAGAGTATTTTAAAGTTCAAAGTGGAGCTTATGAGTGAGTTTGA